TCTTTTTTTGCTACACAGTATAAATCATCTCTTTGATTACAACAAGCCTAGATAATCTTGCATTATGGTGAGAAACAGTTTTCTATTTCCCCTTTTTGAAACAAGCCAAGTTACATTCTTCTAGCACCTACTCCATAAGCAAAGAATTTTTATCACCTACCCTATTTCAAACATCCTTCCAGTACATGCCTAATTTCAAACATTCTGCCAGTTTCAAATCTTCCAAAAGCCTTCATATCGCAAGTCAAGGTGCAAGCAACCAAAACTCACCTTCATGCTACCAAATTCCTTGCAAATTAGTAAGAAGATGGCATTTCTCATGCTGTGGAATCTCTCAATCAAGCCTGAAAAAGAAATAAGGGAGTACGTTGGTCAGATCAGGTGCCGGAAGGGAACTAGTAAACAAAAATGGGGTGCCGGAAGTAGAATTGCTATTAAAGCATAATGTTTTCCAAAGACAAGTTGCAAGAGACCAAGACTCACTTTCATGCTATCAAATTAGACTTCTCATGCTTTATCATGCTTTCGAGCTTTTAAAACAAGAGAATATGTTAGCCAAAATCAGACGCCGGAAAGGTACTCATACACAAACGGATGTGCCGGAAGCATAATTTTCTCAAAGTGCAAGCAAACTCATCTATTAAGCATTTGACAAAATTCACAAGGTGTGATACCAATTCACATACCAAGAAATTTCCCAAGAATTTCAAGCAATTCGGGCGTCTGAAAGCAAATTGAAGAATTCATGCTCTTACAACAATACTAATCCACTTCATGCTCTCGCGACAATATTGCTCAAGAACATGCTTTAGCAATACTCAGATCGGCACTCAATGCCAACAGAAAAGACATGCTAAATTCCCAAGCAAAAGCAACATGCCAAGCAAAACTTATACACAAGCTTTCCAACCATCCTAGCTAGAATATCCCACCTTTAGAAAATCACTATAAATCAAGCTTACAACCAACAAATCCCAGACTTTCCAGATTAGAACTAGACATATCAAGCTTCATTTTCCCAAAATTTCGTTGCATTTCGAGCTAGGGAAGCATGTCAAACAGATTTCTAAAACAGCCCATGCAGCAGAAACTGTACAGCTCCAGCACCTTAACCCTTACTTTGAAATTCCACCGAAAATTCATTTTTTCTTCAAGTGATGCAAGACCAATTCCAACATAACCATTGAGAAGTCCATTTTTATGTCTCAAAAGCTCCAACTCAGATTCGAAAAGAAACATTTCAAAAGTTCAAAAAAACAGCCAGCAAGCTACTTTGAGATATTTTGACAAGCACTTGGCATGCATACCCAAGTGAGCTTGTATAACTCTTGTTTATCACCAAGCTAGAATCCTAAATCAAAAGCTCAACCTTAGAATTCGATTTCTAGTTCACAAATTCTGGGAAATACAGAGGAACTCAAGCATTCAAGCATAGAAGACAAGCATGCAACAAAGGCATCAACATCAACTCATGAACATGCTTTAGAAAAATGGAGGTAGAGAGCACTAGAATGGGTGGATGATCCTCAATTTTGGATATGTTATAGACAACATAATTTCAAGCAAATTTTGTGAAGCAAGCGCAATCATACGAGTATCATAAGTTAAAGACACATGCAGAAGAAAAATCTGCAAAAACTCACCAGCCATGGATGAATTCAGAAGTTGCAAACCAGCTTTGAGGTATCAGAAAAATTCAAAAAATTCTGCAAATTTTACTGGCTATAGTACTCGAGCAGATGAACAACTTTGATCAAGGAAGTTTTCTGATCCGAGCTTTCGAAATATGACTTATGTACTGATGCACAATACCCACGGGTTTGGGTCTTGAAGAAGAAGAAAGAAGAGAATGAGAGAAAATCA